TTGAGATATTTATCAATAAATGGGCGCAGCTTGAGACCATACTCATTAGTGAAATAAATCAATCTCGCATGTGTGAATACCGAATAGTTTCCCTAATGTAAATAATGATTCAAATATATAAAAATATGTGGTGATCATGATTCCCCATTAGGTGGCCTTGAAGCCTTATAAAGTTTTCACTCATTAATTAGAAAGGCTTTATTCTGGGCTTCTTGATATGAAAATATTTGAAGCTAGAGTATATGAAGTTTTATCCAAATATTTCAAGGAAAAAGACACTATGGTAACTACTATTAAGTCAGGTTATAAGGTGGTGAAGTACTAGGTTGTTGAAACAGTCATGCTGTGACCTCTATTGTTATATTGTTATGTCCTGTTTTATCTCAATCTCCCCCTTATTGTTTCAAAAAAAATTATTTAGTCATTTCTTATGTTTGTCTTAATTAAAGAAAAAATTCAAAAAAATTAGGATATATAAATAGTAACTCTTTTCGATTTCCTATTAACTTGTTTTGAAGTCCTGTAGTACTCCCATGATCTTGTTTTGACTGATTAGACTCTGTTCCATTCTATATGATAGTATCAAGTTTGAAGACATAGGCAACTACTTTGAAGACAATAAGATTCACTAAGATACCCATTCTGGTTTGACTATTGTCTTCTTTGGAAGTCCTGTAATGTTTACAATGCCTAAGTTTTATTGGTCTTGTTCTCTACTGTTTTGTCCAACTTTATAATATCTAATAAGATAGACAATTCTTTTTAAGGAAACAAGGGACAACGTTGATAACCGTTGTTGATAAACTTGTACTCTGTTCTACACCATGTGCTATGTCTATCCTTGGTATTGACTGACAGCTTTGTTTTGCCATATTTGACTGTATTCTTCCCCCCCCCCAAAGAAAGTAATAAGCACTAAGGAGTAATAAAATCCAAGATGTGTAAATTTTGTTGTAAAAAAGAGAGGGAAAAAAAAAAAGAAAAAGAGCTCTAACGGATATAACAGCAAGTGTGTTTGGGGGTGTTAAATAGCTGACTTTATCAATGTTTTTGGAACATTGAACACAGCTGTTTGCAGTCTCCCTGTTTGACTGTCCACCTTGTGTTCTTTGATACTGTGATTTGAGGAACTATTTTCAAGAAAATAGTGTGTAATCTACTAGCAGGTAATTTCTTACTGTTATGGTTTTTTGTTTTGTTTTGTTTTGTTTTGTAGTTCTGTATTGCGTGTACCCTTACGCCGCTTTGGTTTGTTTTGTGTTTTTCTCTTTTTCCTCTTAAAAAAAAAAAGTTATGGTGTTTTTATACAATGGAGTACTACTCAGCTATAAAGAATGATCACATTGACATATAAATAAATGGATGCAGACTGATACCATACTCATAAGTGAAATAAATCAAACTCACATGTATAAATACAGAATATATTCCCTAGTATAAGAAATGATAATACATAGAAGTATGTGGTAATCATGATACCCAATCATATTGGTTTGAATTCATATAATATTTTCACTCATTAAGTGCAATGGTTTTACCCTGGGTTTTTCGATTCTAGTATCGGTGATAGTACGAATAGCAATTGTGAAGAAAATAACACATCATAAAAGCTAGTGCTGATTTAATATCATCTTCTTTAGAACTCCCATGAAGCTGTTGTACATGTTTCCACTGGTTTTAACATGTTGTATCTTAATATATTTTACTGTATGTGATAGTATAAATAAAATTTTTCACAGGCAAAGAAATAACATAGAAATTGTTGTTCATTTTCTGTTAACTGACTCTAAATACCCTGTAATAAGTTCATTCTCTTGAATGGCTTCACACTGTCTTGATATGATTGATTCTATAGTATACGAAGTTATACTCAAACAATGCAAGGAAAGAGACACTATGGTGACTACTATTATGTTAGATTACCTGGTGGTGAAACAAAATGATGCTTTAATTGTTCAGTTCTGACCTGTGTTGTTCTATTACAATGTCTCTTTTATCTCGATCTCCACCCTTTTTAAAAAAAATTACTGTATTTTTTCTTATTTTTTTTCAATTAAAGGAAAATTAAATTAAAAAGTAACGGGATATATTATAGTAACTTTTTTGTTTTCCTATTAACCTGATTTTAATCCCAGTATTGCTTTCCCCATCTTGTTCTGCCTGATTTTACTATATTCTATTTTGTTTGATATTATCAAGCTTGAGTGTATAGGCAACCACTTTGTAGGCAATAAGATTTACTATGATCCCCATTATGGTTTGACTATTATCCTCTTTTTAAATCCTGTAAGGTCTCCAGTGTAGATTTTATTGGTCTTATTCTGTACTGTTTTGATCAACTCTATTATACCTGATATTATAGAAACTCTTTAAAAATAGCAAGAGGCACAACCATAACCATTTTTGATCACCTGATATTCTATTTTTGCATCAAGTACTATGCCCATCCTTATGTTCTAACCAACTCTATTTTGTTAACTCATTGAGGTTTTATTCTCTTCAAAAAAAGTAATAAGAAATATGGGAGTAAAAAAAACCCAAAAGTGTAATTGTTATTGTGAAGAAGAGAGGAAAGGAACATGGTCTAAGAGATGTAAGTGTCTGTTTGAGTGTGTAGGAAGGAAAACCGTATTACTGAGCTTTGTTGGATCATTGAATGGAACTGTCTGCAATCTCCCTGTAGGAATGTTCACTTTATATGCTTTAATTTTATAATTTGGACAACTTTCTAAGAAGACAATACATAACCTACTAACTAGTGATTTCTTACTGTATTTTTTCCTTGAAATTCTGTATGATTTGTACCCTTTACTGCTTTGTTTTTTTATGTTTTTTTCCCTTCAAATAAAAAAATTAAACCTGGAATTTATATCTTTTATTTATTTTTTTGGTACTGGGGATCAAACTGATTACCTCACACTTGCCAGGCAGGGGCTTAAGCCACTGAGCTAAATCCCCAGCCTCCCAATATATATCTTTCACATCTTAGCATCTTCAGAGTAGTGGCCTCTACTCTTAGACTTGATACCAGCAAGCATACCAAATGTGAATAAAATCAGTCAAGGCCAAATAACATTCAAACAAACCAGCTTCCAATAAGATCAGTCATAGTACAACAATGTAAGTAATACAGGGTTTCAGTTTTAGTTAATAGGAAATTAAGGACAGTTAACATCATGGTATAACCTGCTATTTTTGGGTTACCTCTCTGTGCCCTCAAATCTAATATGAGGAGACAGACCAGAACAAAATATAATCAAACTAAACAGAGCAACAGAACTACTGTAGCTTTTAAATCCTGATACACTTTTAACAATGTCTTCTGCCTTCTTTTTTTAGGCAATTCCTCACCTTCCTCCTTCTCAGGATACTATTATTCACTGTTCAGAGTGATATTAGTTTAGTCTCTTATGTTCAGTTTCAGTATACATAAAAATAAAGACATCTACTATGAAGAGAATGAGACACATTATGGTAATCATTATCAACTTCCCCAAAATCAGTCTTGAAGATCAAAAAAGCCTGCATCATCCTGTAATTATTTGATTAGTTCTATAATGTTCAGTATATATTCAATGCTTGTGAAGATGGGCACAACTATTTGGAAGAAAACTAGGGACAGTAATATAGACAATGAACAGGTCAGTGGACTTGCTTTGAAACCCGTGTTTCTTTAGCTTGTTTCCTTATGAACTGTTCTATTTTGTTTTCTCATGTTTAATCTTACCATCTTTAAGATAAAAAACAAGTTTGTAGAACATATAAGCATATTAATAAGTTTTTGTTGGATCACTGAGGTAAACTGTTCACAGTGTCATTATTTGAATATTACTTTGTATTCTTTAATTATGTAACTTGAACAATTATTTCTAAGATGACAATATGTAACTAATCAACTAGTGATTTCTTATTGTTTATTTTTCAGAAATTCTGTATTATTTCTACACTTTTGGGTTGTTTTTCTTCAAATAAAAATAATTCAACAAAAATATGAAAATTAAGTTTTAAAGACAAAATATTAAGTACATAGAAACTATCCATACTTGAAAGTGAAAAGCCCATTTCAGTTTACCATGTTTAATTACAAGATGCCATTTTGAAGCACAAAGACACATTAAAAATCTAAAGAGGTATAAGTGATTAACTGAAAACCATACAAAATGTGTACTTGAGTAGAGCTCCACTTCAGATTTGTCATTTCTGGAATATTTGTGAAGAAAGATTTACATCAAACTTCTGTATTGATTATTTCTTTAGGTCTACTTGGAATTTTAAAGTAAACTTAGATATAAACTTTCTGAAGAGTGCTTCTTTTTATATGTATTTAACAACAAACATGGATTGCTGTATTTCTCACACTGTTAATACACATAGGATCCAGTGAGCTCTTTCAGATATGTAACAATGATCATGTGTGCTGAGAATATTCCCATAACACATAGGATTTATCTCTTGTGTGAGTTTCTTCATGTATTTCACTTACAATCTGGCTGCTGAAAGTGTCTCCACTTGCTTATGTAGCCAGTGGTTCATCCAAGTGTGAAGTATTTCATGTGTTTTGCAATGACTGTATGTGGTAAAAGCTTTGCCACATTGTTATATGCATAGGGTTTCTCCACCAGTGTGGAGTCATTGATGTATTTTACAAAATCCATGTGTGGTGAAAGCTTTCCCACATTCTTCACATAAACAGGGTTTCTCAACAGTGTAAATTTTTTCATGTATTGGACAATGAGCATTTCTGCTGAAACCTTTCCCACATTCCTTACATATATAAGTTTTTTGCCCAGTGTGAAGTTTTTCATGCATTATGCAATAGGTACTTGTGCTAAAAAATTCTCATGATGCTTATATACACTGGTTTTATCTTGAGTGTGAACTTTCATGTTGCTTACAATGTCCATGTTGGGTAAAAGCTTTCCCACATTGCTTACATATATAGGGTTTCTCACCAGTGTGAATTCTTTCATGTTCCTTACACTGTCCATGTGTGTTAAAACCTTTCCCACATTGGTTACACACATTGGGTTTCTCTCCAGTGTGAATTCTTTCATGTATTTTACAATTTGCCCAAGTGTTAAAAGCTTTCCCACATTGCTTACATACATATGGTTTCACTCCAGTGTGAGTTATTTCATGTGCCTTACAATGTACATGTTGGGTAAAAGCTTTCCCACATTGCTTACATACATAAAGTTTCTCTCCAGTGTGAATTCTTTCATGTTGCTTACAATGTCCATGTCGGGTAAAAGCTTTCCCACATTGCTTACATACATATGGTTTCTCTCCAGTGTGAATTCTTTCATGTTGCTTACAATGTCCATGTCGGGTAAAAGCTTTCCCACATTGCTTACATACATATGGTTTCTCTCCAGTGTGAATTCTTTCATGTTCCTTACAATGTCCATGTTGGGTAAAAGCTTTCCCACATTGCTTACATACATAGGGTTTCTCTCCAGTGTGAATTCTTTCATGTTTCTTAAAATATCCCCGTGTGTTAAAAGCTTTCCCACATTGCTTACATACATAGGGTTTCTCTCCAGTGTGAATTCTTTCATGTATTTTACAATTCGTCCGTTTGTTAAAAGCTTTCCCACATTGCTTACATACATAGGGTTTCTCTCCAGTGTGAATTCTTTCATGTATTTTACAATCTGTCCGTTTGTTAAAAGCTTTCCCACATTGCTCACACACATACGGTTTCTCTCCAGTGTGAATTGTTTTATGTTGTTTACGATGTCCAGATTTGGTGAAACCTTTTCCATATTGCTGACATAGATAGGGTTTCCCTCCACTGCAATATTTTTCATGGATCTGAACATTGTGGTGTGTTTCTGCTTCTTTCACATTCACATTACCTTCTGCAATACCAAGGAATACTTCTTTATACTGATTCCAAGATGTATGTCCATAGGATTTCCCTGGCTTGTCATTTCTGTTAAAAAAATATCACATATCAGATTGATAACCATATTACTAAGTTTTTATTGGAGATTTGAACAAAATAGTTTGCAGTCTCGCTGTTTGAATCCCCACTTCATGTGTTTCACTTTTGTATTTCATTAACTATTTCTATGAGCAGCATATGTAATCATTGTCTTTAGATTTCTTACTGTTTATTTTCACTTTGAAAGTGGTATCATTTCTACTTATTTTGTTTTTTTTTAGTCTTTCCTTACATTAAATAGAAAAAGAAACATTCACAGTGAAATGGGTCTTAGTTTAATGACTGCATTCATGTCAAGATCTGTGTTTAATGCCTGCTAAGAAATTCTGACCATGAAGTAACAGAATGGCCTTGTAAGACATGTTGAAAACAACAATTCCCAAAAGACTGGTACACATTTGGAAATCTTAAAATTTGGTATCTTTTGAAATGCAGAATCTTTAGCTTCACTTTGGGCATGGGTACGTATGTGTATCACAGACAGATCATTCTGATATGTTTCCCCATCACAATCTCCCTTCTGTCCTTAACCTGTAGTTCCCTTTTCAATATGGTCAGCCTTAATTTTCTCTATTAACTCTCTTTCATTTCATTCCACAATTTATATTTTGGTTTCTCATCTAAAAGAAACCCTGTGACCTTTTAGGTTTTATAGCTGAGCTATTTCACCGAATTGATGGGAGAAAGAACCACCTATTTCTTATGGCAAATGGCATTAAAAATTTATTTTTTGACATTATATAACACATTTTTCTCTTTTCCATGCTGGGAATGAACAACAGCTATTAGCATACAATCAATAGCATTTTAATTGTGTTTTAAGAGATTTTCGCTGATCATTAACTCTGAAGTTTGAACTTGAATTTTCCATTCTGCAAAATGTGATTCCTAGTGTGCTGGATTTACAAGAATGCACAATCACAGAGAGTCTATTAACATTTTGCTTCTCCACAAATCCAGTGATAGATAGCTAAGCGTCTTCAAGGCCTGATCTATTATAACTTGATCTGCTTTGTATATGAGTAAGTATGTATCAGTATTTTATGTGCATTTTGAATTTTTAAAAATATATCCAGGACAAGTATGAGGGGATCAATGTCTAGAGACAACTGCACACTGATATTCAGAATGAGTGCAGTTAACATTCTACCAGCCTTCTAAGAATTTTAGTCAGAATGGCTGATTCTTTAGAGCATGGCTTGGAAACACAAGAACTCCATTTTATTTCAAATTCTATTGCAATCTTAGCAATTTTTAGATGATGAGTGTGTTATATTCACATGTATATATGGGTAGAAAAACTGAAGAGAGAATGTCATAACTCAAAGTGTATGCCTTTCATACACATCTATATGCAGTGCCATATATTTTCTCTATTTAATCCACTCATTATACATACCCTAGCTTTGGAGAATATTACTGACAATAAATTGAATGGTGCCTCATTTCTTTGTCGGTATTTTTCTGCTGACTCACTAATTACTCAGGAACATTCCTTCTCCTTATGAGTGTGAATTACCTTAAGTATCTCCAGTAAATTTTGCATTCTTTTTCAGCTTCCTGGATATCCCCAACTCCTCCTGAATTGTAGACATAGAAATACCAGCGCTCATTAGAATAATACATACAAATTAATAGATTTTGTTTAGAGTTATGATATACTGTGTCCAGGTCTGAGCTATTTTTAAAAATATTTTCACATTGTTTTTAATGAAACAGCACTGATGAATGACATACAACATTCGGACAGTATGAGTGATAAAAGTATTTTGTCCTTACCTATTGCAGTCATGTTCCTCAAGGTTTCGCCCATCACATCTCTGTAGAGGTTCTTTTGGGATGGACTCAGCAAAGTCCACTCCTCATTGCTGAAGTTCACAACCACATCCTCAAAGGTCACCACCTCCTAAAGAATCATACATATATTTCTCACACCAAGTTTGAGACACCAGGTTTTGGTATCTTAAATTCTCTCCTACAAATCTGAATCAAAAGCAAAGTGTAGTGGTATATATCTATAATGCTAGCACTCAAAAGGCTGAGGCAGGATGGTTTCAGTGAGGTCAGGGCAATTTTATGCTCCATAGGGTGTTCAAATCCAGCTGATATACATACAGAAAGCTTGTCTCAATAAAGCAAAACTAAACTAAACAAATACAACCAAACAAAACAGCTGAATGAAGACTGATTTCTTCAAATTTAAATCCATGTCTTGGTCATTAATTTTGTGTATATACACATTTTTGAAGACACCAAATTTGATGGTAGATTGCAACTCACTGCTAATGTAACAGTGAAATAGGAGCACTGATTCTTTGCTGAGTCACTGCAATATTCCCTGTGTACTGTCTCTAATGCAGAGCTCACAGTGAGAAGCCTGCAGAACCAGCATCCACAAAGCACAGAGGTAGATAACTATCCCATCAATCAACTGGGAAGCAAGCAAGCACCCCCCTTCCCTGGTAAGTGGTGGCAGTGTGGCAGACTGTGGCCCATCGAGGGGGAGAACCATCAGCAGCTCCGAGATCCATGCCATGCTGGAATTTAGGAAACTTGGAAGGCAAGCAAGCACCACTTCTCCCTGGTAAGCAGTGGCGGTCTGGAAGAATGCAGCCCTTCCAGGGGGAGAACCAGCAGCAGCTCCTGAGATCCACGCCATGTGCTAACATAGGACACTGTGAAACCAAACAACTGGCCTATCTACTAAGCAATAGTGAACCTACTGATGCACGGCCTAGAATCAAACATCCCACTTCCCTATCCCTCTTCTCCTGTCACCCCCCATTAGCAAATGGCAACCAGAAATCTGAGCGTCTCCTGGGAAGTAGACCATAACAAATAAGGGGGACTTCCTTCTACTATCTCTTTCAAGGCAAATATTTTTATTACTGTTTTGCTCTATTCTGATTAATGGTATTGCTCTATTCAATATTCTGTTTTGATAAGCACTATAATGTTCTGTATTTCATCTCATTTTGATATACATGTTTGAAAGAATAACTATTATAAAGATAATAAAATATACTGTGATACCTATTACAGTTATTGCAGTAACCTGTTGTGAAGTTGTGTACCAATTTCAGTGTATGACATTAGTTGGCCTTATTCTGTTGTATTTTACCACTTTCAAAATTTAAAAAAAAGAAAAAAAATCTCATCAATCACTTTGATAGCCTGCAGATAATGTCTCTTCAAATCTCATTTAGGCCAGTGAGTACTTTGTTCTTAATATACTTCAGCAGCATTTTGAAACACGAATTTGGTTTCATAGAACAAAACATAAATAACATCCAATACACCACAAAAATAACTCAAATGTTAGTGGAAAATGGTGTTTTTAAAAAATAAGTATATAAAATGGAACAAGGCCCAAGCTGTAATTTATAGCTCACTGACACCAAGGGATCACTTTCAATTCAGATATAAGGAATATATCTTAGGAGGCTGGTGAAGGAGTTCTTCCTTGAATTTGGGACTATCCTAAGTTATAGAGCTGTATAAAATAGAGAAACCCTGACTGAGACACCCCACACACAAAGTGAAACTTGAAAAGAGAATGCATAAGATACCTTTGGTTTGTTTTAAAAAATTATAGCCATACAATATGGAAAAAATTCTAACAATATTCAACACTTTCTGAGAAACAATGTGGACCTCTTCCATACAACAAAGAAAACACTTTCATAGTTGGGTATTTAGCTCAGTGGCATGAACAACTGCTGGAAAGCATAGGGCATGAGTTCGATCCTTGGTACAAAAAAAATCCAAATTTTACCTTCATGACACTGGGGCATAATTAGAGATAAGCCATATCAGATCTTAAGAATGGAACACAAAATTCATGGGCTGACAGGGATGTGAAATACTGATTGTTGCCAGAGCTGGTGTTGTTCACCTCAATGAAGCAATCAGAACCCAACTTTAACTTCACGCTTACTCTAAGAACTACCTGAATTTCAGTGAAGACCCTCTCTGTTGTATGTCCTGCTATAGGCTTCTTGAAGCCTGTCAGTCACTTGCACATCCTTTCCACACGCCTCTAATCCATCCTCAGCAGGAAACCCTTCAGGCCTAACTACTAATATCACTGCAAAATTTCGGTTTGGATCTTCTCCTTTACACCACTTAGTAAATTCCATTGCAGAGCATTTCCATATTTAAACTGTCTATGAACAACCAAGCCACTAAATCAGCTCTTATTTCAGAGATGACACACCTATTCCTTTCGAATCAGAAGGATATCACGTGTATATGTGCATGCAAATGCCTGAATTTCAGCATTTTTCGATGAAAATTTAACAGGTAGCCCTTTATGGAATTTGTCCTTCAAAAATTTTTACCCTTTCCTTGATAACACTTTCATATTTGCTTCATTTTTCTCAGACTTCAAAACTCTATGGCTAAAACAGTAGAGAACAAGACCAATAAAACTTAGGCATTGTAAACATTACAGGACTTCCAAAGAAGACAATAGTCAAACCAGAATGGGTATCTTAGTGAATCTTATTGTCTTCAAAGTAGTTGCCTATGTCTTCAAACTTGATACTATCATATAGAATGGAACAGAGTCTAATCAGTCAAAACAAGATCATGGGAGTACTACAGGACTTCAAAACAAGTTAATAGGAAATCGAAAAGAGTTACTATTTATATATCCTAATTTTTTTGAATTTTTTCTTTAAGACAAACATAAGAAATGACTAAATAATTTTTTTTGAAACAATAAGGGGGAGATTGAGATAAAACAGGACATAACAATATAACAATAGAGGTCACAGCATGACTGTTTCAATAACCTAGTACTTCACCACCTTATAACCTGACTTAATAGTAGTTACCATAGTGTCTTTTTCCTTGAAATATT